CTCTCTCTCTCTCTCTCTCTCTCTCTCTCTCTCTCTCTCTCTCTCTCTCTCTCTCTCTCTCTCTCTCTCTCTCTCTCTCCCCCCGAAGAAGAAGAAGAAGAAGAAGAGAGAGGGTGCTACCAACTTCCTCACTGCAACTTCTCGACCGACACTGTCAAGGCACCCAATCCTTCTGCTCACAAGGGAAGAAAGCTGAAAGCTGGATGGAGAAGAGGAGGAAGAAGAAGCCCGTTCTCTCTCTCACCTGACACTGACAACGTCGTACCGATGGTGGCTGCTGCAGGTCACATGGTGAAGCCCGGCTATGGCTCCCAGATAAGTGTCCTCATCCCGTGCTCACCTCCTACCACTGCCCCTCTACTGTGCTCAGTGCAGCTCGAGGATACCAGCACTGCTCTCCAGCCGTGCATTGCCCAAAACGTGCACCAGCAAGACTGAATCATGTCCGCTGCTGGGACCTGGTCCTGTGCCTCAACGGCGTACGATCAGGGCCGTCCGACCGAATGTCCATTGACGGTCCTGATCATAGGTCCAAGTCCTGGTCCTATGAGTACGTATGAATCTGAACCTGGCCTACAATGGCCTACCGGCAGTCCACTGGTCCGGACAGGCACTGCCTGTTCAGACAATCCGAAACGTCCGAAACGACACATCCACAAAAGACAACAATAGAACAGACAAAACTCAGTCCTGCATTCAGCAAAAATAAATAAATCTCCCAAGGGTGCTAAAAATAAATAAATAAATACATAAATAAATAATCCACATTAAATCCAGTAATAAACTATCAAAAATAAAATCAATGCCGATAGGACAAAAACGGGAGTCTGGTCCAAAAATGTGGCCATGGGCCACCAGGTTGCACAAGGGAAGGGTCTGCGCGACCTGGGGGCTGGTGCAAAACTGTCAGGCCCAATCGGGCCCGTGTAAAAGCCCCTAGGAGTATACACAGTGGAAACGGAGCCGCTGCAGCACTGATTGCGCTAGGCGAACCAGAGGATTAACTGTCAGTGCTCTGTGGAGGATAAGACTGAAAGCCTGCCTCTTCAGCCCTTTGTAGGGCGGCCAAAAAGGAAACCTGCAGTCCTAGCAGAACTTCCTATGCAGCCATTTGGCAATCCATACCAGGCCAGGCCCACAAAACAATTAACCGCAGGAGGAAAGAGGTCTGGAAATTCCAATGTCCATCTTAGAGAGATGGACCATCTATGTTTGTCCAGTCCACAAAAAACACATGAATTCCTTGGAACTTAGATACATCTCCCTCAATTTTTGGATTGCTCATGAGTTTGGGTTGCTGAGCCATTCTGCATCAGAGTCTTCTATCTTGGCTTTCTTTTCCTTGGGTTTGTTTAGCTGATTAACCTTTTCCATTGTGGATTGTCATTCCATCAGGATATCAGATTGGATAAACTCTGTAATTCCCGCGTATACTTCTGCAGAATCTACACCCTCCAGCATGACGTCTTCCCATTCATGAGCCTCCCCGCTTGTACTTTTGACAACAAGCTACTGGTATGGCACTCCGGTTGCATGGCCAGTTAGGTTCTCCTGTCAGCCATCTTCAAAGTCTGTCCCTTCATCTCCATAGGAGCACCACCTGGTGGGCAGGAAAGAAACAAGTGCCCCACTCTAATTTTTCTGTAGGTGATCCAGCTTGGCAGCATTTGCATCAGGGAAGCAAAATAGCTTTCTGCTCAAGGTACGAGTGGTCGATCAACTAATTCCTTGTTGTTAAACATCTGTGCGCTAGCTGCCTTTGAAGATCTGATGCCTTTGCTGACTTACTTATATAATCTTTGAAAAAGTAGATTCCCAAACGCAGTTTCTATCAAGGTTCAGATGCTTTGCCCAATGGTCTCTTATTTGGTTCACCAGATCCTTCTTTTTAAACACCTTATAGGAGGCCTTATGGCTACCTCGCCCCCCCGCTGGGTCAAGATAGCAAGAGACTTCTACAAGAATCTCTTTTCTTCCCATATCCCACTATCCCTCCGCGATTGTTGGGCACAGGAGGTGGCAGACTTCCTGGCACAGCAGCAAGCCCACTTTACTCCCTCTCAACGTAACATGCTGGAAGCACCTCTAACAAAGAGATGAGGTGTGGACCGCCCTGTTGCAGATGGAGGAGGAAAAAACATCTGGCATAGATGGTTTCCCTAAGGAGTTTTGGGGAACAATGTGGGGGTCGATGGGGGAAGACCTGACGGACTACTACTACTAAGTCTAGCTTACGGGTCTAGTGGGAGAGAGAGTGGGTCAAGGGGCCCTCTCCCTCCTTTACAAAAAAGGAGACAAAACAAACATCCGAAATTATCGCCCCATCACGCTTCTGACCGTAGTATATAAGGTGTTGGCCAAAGCCCTAGCAAACCACATGATTGAACTTTGAAGTAATGGAAGATATTATGCACCCAAACCAGATAATGAAATTTTGCGGCTGACCAGACAATCCAACTCTAATGCGGCCTTCATTTTCATCGATTTCAAGAGGGCATATGACCATATCGACTGGTTGTTTCTGGACCAGTGCCTCGAAAAGATGAACTTCGACCCTTGCTTTAGACGATGGGTGTTCGTGCTACACACCAACGCCGACATGCGAATCCAGGTAAATGGCTCCTCGCGCCTGCAAACCCCCTGGCCAGGTCTGTTAGACAAGGGGACCCCATCGCCCCCCCAAAAGAAGCCATCCCGATTTGTTCCCTCTTTGCAGATGACCTTACTGTGATCGTGGTCGCCACAAAACAGAACATGGCAGAGATCAAACAAGTGATGAACCGTTTCTGCAGGCTCTCAGACATGATGGTGAAATGGGGGCACATGACACAGGGCTGGTGGATCCACTCTCAGGGGGGTCGGCTGCCAGAGGAACCAAGGGTCAAGTGGATTCCCGCGGAGGCCCTGGCCCAGGTGCAGGGAGCCTCACTGACTGTGAATGGCAAGCCAACCTCAAATGAGGACTGGATAGTGAACCCGACATTGCAGAAATTGATGGTGTGGAAGGACAAACGGTCCTCCTTGTTTGAGCGGGCTCTCGTTATAAACAACATAAACCTTGCCTCCTTAAGGTACAAAACCGTTGCTTTGGCCACTGTCCTAGGAATCCTTGAAATCCCTCTGTAGGCAGATAGCAGCCTTCCTATGGAGGGGCAACCATGAATGCAGCACAACCATAAGCCATGTGGCATGGGAAGCAGTAATCCAGCCGAAGTCGGGGGGGGGGGGGATGACTGGGCATCATAGACCCCAGCCTGCAGACCGCGGCATTAGGCCTCCTGTGAATCACCCGATTGATCTTCTCAAATGAGGCCCCTTGGAAAGCCTTGGCCCTGGACCGAATCCCACGGCTGGCACTAGAAGCCCCATTCGACCTTAACCCCTGGTATGGCTAGAGGACCGCTACTGGCCTACCCCTAGAGTGGGCTCTCGCCCCCCCCCGACCAGCGAGAGCAATGTAGCACGAGGGGACCTTAAGAAATATAACTTTGGCTCACATTTCTCAAAGATTGGCGGAGGCTCCATATGCCAGACCCACTGCCCCCGGAACGTTAGGAGGAGGTTGTCCGCTGGCCGCTGCTCGGTAACAGATAAATCACTGACCGCCACGGGTGTATCTACTGCAGTTCTGATTCCCCCTGGTCACATTGGGTTAAACACGGAGTCGTTAGGGTGGGGGACCTTTAGGATAGCGAGTAGGGTTAGTGGAAAACAGAACAGCAAATGTAACGACGCCTTTGATATGGCAGACAGGTTGGCAGAATGATGAAAGAACTCATTTTCTCCATCGCTCTGGCATGGTGCCGTATTCTAAGAAGAGGGCGCACTCTATGGGAAGGGGAATGGGTGGCAATCAGGGGGCAGCCACACTGAGCAGGCAGGAGACACGAGACCAGACCAGAGGAGGTGCCAGGTTAAAGATACACACTGTTTAAACCACCAGTACCTTTCCCATATGTTTGCCGGGGGTGGCGTCGGAGGCCTGACATGAAAAGCAGGCCGCCGATTCGATTTATCCCCGGCTTGGCTACCGCGTTATCCAGCACGTCTTAGATTTCAAGTGGGGAAAGGTACTGGTGGTTTAACCACCTCCAGCTCCATGGTAGATTGAGCCCCTTTGTATGGATGGACAAAACTCAGGTATTCTGAATCCGGGAAATGGTCTGATGTTTAAGCATACAGGTCGTAGGCCCCGATCTCAGACCTGCCTCTTGATCCAGCTGA